TAGCATATTGTACTCTTGCTTCATTGGCCTGAAGATTGCTCCATGCCTTTCCTTCAACTGATGGTCAATGTTAGAATCGTGTAACTTATACTGCCGAAACGTTTTCTGGAATAACGTCCACAATGCCAACAGTCTCCCAGTTTCTGATCTCTTCTTAGTGATACTAAGTTTCTCTGTTTGCTGTTCAGGATTTCTATTTTCTTTCATTACTACCCACTTCTGCCACGTTGCAGTGAGTCTCATGTCCTCAGAGTTTGCTAGGATTGGATCCTTTTACTTTGCTTCATCCTTCCTCTTGCATCCTTAGATGTCGAGGGGGGGGGGTACAATTTTCAATCATGGGCAGTGTAGGTGGCTTCTGTTGTTGAATTGTTATTCTTTTGGAGGAACTCTTTAACGCTATCCAGCCAAGTTTTGTGTGGTCTGCACCTGCCCTTGTACCCGGACATATTATATTAGAGTTGTAAGCTTGTGAAGCTGGGTGATTTGGTGACACTCTCATCAGTTGACCGAACCACTTCCTTCTTTGATGTTCTTATTCCATAACAGTTTTTTTCCCTGTCAAATTTCATTTATCAGTCTTTCGTCTTCGTGCTTTATATCGTAAGTCAGTGTTGGAAGGAATATGCTGTGAAAAAGTCGTTGTCTTTTTACTTCCATTGGTACGTGTTTATGGGTGAGTAGTGCTGACAATTTATAGGTTTCTGCATTTGCTTTTGGGTCCTGATTTCAATTTTCCTATGTCCAATCTTCCGTCGTGTGTAAGCATGCTCCCTAGCTATTGAAATTTAAGTTGTGTCCCGTCGATGGAGATGTTTAGTAGTGGGACTGGGTTTCTAAGATCACACGATCCGTGCATGGCATGCATGTTTTGGCCAAATTTGAGAAGGAATAACCATAAGATGAACGCAATGCATAAACAATGCGTCAGCTGTCAACTCTGTGTTATTACAAATCTTGCACGCACAAGTGTTTTGATCTGATTATTAAATAGCTTCCACCGTCAAAAGCTTGTAAAACAAATGTTTGAACTGCTCTGGTACCATCTGTACAGATGTTCTACGATGTCATTCAACAAACGTTTTTGGGTTTAATAAATTCTCTTTTAAGGTAACAATATTTTCAAACCGTTTAAAATTCTCGAGTTGTCAGGCCAAAGGGAAAAAATCCTAAATTTGCTCTTTACCCATCTGCAGAGTTGAAAGCACTTTTCTCTTCAGTTTCCTTTTGTTCTTTATGTTGTGAATTCAACAAAACTAAAATTTGCTCTGGATTTTCTGCTTTCCTAATATTCCTCCACAAGCCAACATTTGAACACTTCTGTTTTCTTTTATCTATCTTCCAATTCATCCAGGAGAGCAAAAGGAAATTCAGTATTCTTTTCACTGCCTTCTTGCTCTCAGATAAGGTTATCATTTTCAGCTTTAACTTTCTTTTTCTTTGCACTGTTTTCATTGCAAACCTACATTTTAGTCTAGAAAAAAAAATGAACACACTTGAGAATGGGGCATCTGTTGTTTTGTCATTGGCACTGTTTGATTTCCTCTTCAGATTTGTGTCTTTCTTCGTTTTTCTCCATTCCACACATGCTGCCCAATGGCGGCAATGGTCTCTTGAAATCATACAAGCAACAGGTTTCCTTTCCCTTTGTTCTTTGTCTTTTGATGCAGTTCTGCTTTTCATACTGCATGTCGTGCAGTGTTTTCACTGGGTTCTTGTTTCGCCTCTCTCTGTCTCTCCTTTATTTTATTTTTTTTCAGCAGGAGTCAGCTTTGTCTCTAGTGAAAAAAAGCAAATATTAATATTTTTTTAGTCCTCTTTGAGAAATCAGCTATCAATAGGGCCTGGCCTTCATACAATCAATCTAGATTAAGCATAAGTGGCATTGTGCTGAAGTCAACTAAGCAGAAGATTCTTATTTTTTACTTCAGTCTACATCTACGTCTGTCTCTGCGACAATGCGAAATGCACTTCTAAATCTGCAACTAAATAAAAGATCTAGATCTAGACCTACATTTTAAGAACTCTTTTTTTAACGGTTAAATGGTACAGGTCGCCCTTATAAGATTATTTCAGAGGTGGGACCTCCGAGTTTACCGGTTAACGTCGTCTCCCGGATGAATGGAGAAATGGGAAATTCGTGTAAAGCGTCTTTCTCAAGGACACAACGTTGGACCGAGCTGAGGCTCGAACCCCTAAACCCGCAATATCACGATTACTTAGAACTCTTCAATACCATTTATCAAAATAGAAGGCTCTAGACTTTGATGGAACAATAGTATGTTGCATTATTATTATCATCGATGTAGGAAAAATGGAAGGTTTTGTCTTTCATTTTACTTTGTTGTTCCCTCGCTATTGCTCTCAATTCCATCCTGTTACCTAAATTACAGAATCACAATACAGGAGTTTGTTGAAAAAGTACAGATACATCTTTCACATAATAACTATTTTGTTTTGTTTGTGCATAAATGACCCATTTTCAACCCGAACTTTGCTCAGTTTAGCAATTTGACATGTAGCCCTCCTTCTTGCTATCTTGTATTCTCTCCTGTTACTCTCAATTCCGTCCTGTTACTCAAAGATAAAAGTTACAATTCAGGTGTTCTGTTGAAAAAACACAAACATGCCTTTAGTTTTAACCTCTTTCATTTACTCTATTAAGTATGGACTACCTCACATTCTAATCCAAACTGTGGTCAGTTAAGCTATTGAGCACATTCCTTTCTCTCCTGTTACTTTTTATTCTCTCCTGTTACCAAAACCCGGGTAATAGGAGGGAAAGTAACAGGAGGGAATTCTGTACATCGTTACCCTGACGACCACAAATTGGGTAGAGCTCATGTTATGGATTTTCTTACCATTGAAATGTAACCTTGGCAGACTTCCTAACCAAAGGAGAGTGTATCAGATTTCTGTATAATAAGTCGTTTATTAACCCCGGTAATAGGAGAGACATTTATGTTCAAATACTCACCATGTTGGGTTGAACTTGGTTCTGTATCTTTCAATCGTGCATTGCATAAGCTCCGCTGTCTCATGGCATATAAAGGAACAGGAAGGGAGCCTTCACTCGCAAAATCTCAACAACAAAAAATCTATATCTAGGGACCATTCATCTGTGTGAAATGCTGGGTAACAGGAGAGAACTTTGAAATGGGCTACGCAAAATATAGAGATAAAAAGTTAATTAAGAAATATAAGACAAGGACGGGCACCAAGATTTTTTTTGCTTCCGTAATGCTGTCCAATACTCTGTATAACTGTGAAATATTTAATCCCGAGAGCAATTACTTTTATCCTAAAGCATATTTTCAAAAACATATAGACCGTCTACGTAGTCAAAGGCAATTCTAAGCAATATTTTATATTGGTATCCAAGGAATTAGGTCTGGAATCACAAATTTAAAAAATACGATTTTTTTTTTATAAAGACTCACGAGACTTTTTTGAGTTTGCTATAGCAGAAATTCTGTTATACCCAAGTATGTTATAATGAGGCCCGCTGCATTTGGACTAATGGCCTCAATGAAAAAGAGTATCATAAAGAAGCATTGTTTGTGTGTGTGTATGTGTGTGAGTGTAGGTGTGTGTGTGTGTGTGTATGTGTGTGTGTGTGAGAGTGTGTGTGTGTGTGTGTGTGTGTGTGTGTGTGTGTGTGTGTGTGTGTGTGTGTGTGTGTGTGTGTGTAGGTTTGTGCGTGTGTTTTGGTTTTTTATTGTGCTTTTCAAATTTTCTAAACGTGAACCTCTCAAAAGCAAAGGGGGTGATTTTTTTTTTTTTTATTTAAAAAGAGGAGAAAAAAACAACAGTGCCACCTCTTGTTCTTGAACAAGAAACAATAGTAAAGTTAAATGAAATCATAGACTAGTACAGATATCTTGGTCTCGCAATCGACAATGAATTGACCTGGCAAAATCACATGGACAATATCGTTAAAAAGGTAAATCAGAAGCCGTCCCGCCTAAGTACTTGCCTGCTTCACTCTGTATCCATCCATCCTTGTCAGTGGTGAGCGGATGTTCTGTTGTGGTTTGCTCCTTCATTCTCTCAAAAATATATCAACTTTGTCTCTCGTCCTTCTTTTCTTTGCACGTAACGTGCTCGAAATGACATCAACACTGTACAACGACTGGGATAGGCACTGGTTCAAGAGTGGAATGGACTACCACATGAGTCATGACCTGAGTGTGGCCCGGCCTCCTTAGAGTGTCAGGTAGTTAGGGCTGAAACACTTGCTTGAAGGGGTTTTTCCTCTGTAGATCTCCTTCTGTCCACTCGCCCCACGAGTTTTCACCAACCACAACAGTCAATTCGAACTCTTGACTCTGATCAATGCACATAAGGTACCAAGCCTGGATCACAGCAAGGGGCGGCCATACCCGATACTGACGTAAAATTTTGATATCAAGGGGTACTAGTTTGTGTTTGACATTGAGTCACCATATAAGTCGTGATCAAGAAACAAAAGGTAATGCACTTTTTGCAATACTTTGAAATGCTTGTGCCAATTTTTGTTTTTATAATGTTGAATAATAGGCTCAACACAGCCTAAATACACAAATAAAATACAAGTAGGCCTCTAAATGAACTCATCGCCTTAACATGACAGACTATTGTACCCATACAGATAACTCAGACAATCCAGACACCATTTCTGGTTGCCACTGTGCAGTACCGCCCTGTTTTTGAGCTGGGGTTATCGTGTGTATCATTGACACAGCCCATGCAGTGACCACCCACCTGAACGCCGTTTCGGCTACGATAGTATGACTTCATTGTAATCCTGAGCACACTGTCTACTCGGACGCTTCTACTCGGAAACTTGTGGTGTCAAAACTACAAAAAGGAGGATCAAACTTCAAGGTATTTACGACAAGTCCACAAAGTAAATTGGCCAACAGTAAAGAGAAGTGTCCTCGGCTACTCCTGAAAGTGTTTTGTAGTTTTCTTGAGCTCTTCTTCTCCGGCAGCTAGATGGGTGATGGTATCTTCTTCCTCTACATTTTGCTTGTAGCCGCGGTCGTGTCTCCCAAACCTCGCTTCCGCGTCTCCGGAAGAGTCCAGACCATAAACATACACGTGACCGTCAGACAACCAATCACGACGAAGGAAATATACAGAAGCTCTGAGCTTCGCGGAAACAGATATGGAGCCAAGATGCCACCGAGCCTCGCTCCAAAATACACAAAACTGTAGGCCAACGTGCGTACGTATGTCGGGAACAGCTCCACCATAAATGCCGCCATCAGACTCAGAGCTTGGTCAGCGGCAGTAGAGATAATGAGGGAAAAAATTGTCACCACAAGACCGAGAGAGCTGCTCGAGCTTGTAAACAGTAGGATCAAAACGACCAGAGCCGTGAGGCAAGCTATGGCGAAGTAAATCATGATCCCCCTCTTCCTCCCAAGCTTTGTCGCCATAATAGGCAGTAGGGGCACCACGAAAAAGAAAAAGAAAATTAGTTTGAGGTACAAGTTTCCAAACAGATTTTTCACGCCAAAACCGATGGAGTAAAAGATAAAAGCCATGATGAAGAAGAGGCAGAAACCGACTATGCTCCTTTTCCTGAGGGGTTTTTGTAAAAGGTGGCAAACAGTGGACTTTCTTTCCAGCGCCCTCACCTCGCTCTCCTCCAAGACCACCATGTCCTTCTCTTCGAGCTCGCTTTTCCTGTTGTACCGACAAACTTTGTTAGCTACCGCGAGAGCGTCCTTGACTCTCCCGTGAACGGCCAGCCAGCGCAAACTCTCCGGTACCCAGAACACGGTGGGGAGAGCCGCCAAAGACACAGCGGCGGTGGCCATGTGGATGTGTCGCCAGTCCCGCAGCACGTACACCAGTACGCCGAACAGAATGTTGCCGCAGTGGAAGGCAGGGATGGCCGCCAAGATCACCCGCCATTTGGCCGTGACGAATTCTTTAGGATAGACCTGGTTGATGGACAGGTTCCCGCCCACGCTAGCTCCGATAAAGAACCTGAGAATAGCGAACATCTCCAGGGAGTTGGAAAATGCAGCCAAGGTGTTTGCCACAGCGCTCAGCCCCACCATCATGTATAGGCTCACCCGCCGCCCGAACTTGTTGCCCACCCAGCCAGCCGCCACACAGCCAACGGCCACACCGGACATCTGGACAGAGATGACCAGCGAGGCCAGCCATGAGCGAGCACAGACGAGTCGCCACTCGGAGACGATCGTGGACGCCTCGGGGCTGAACCGGATGTCCGAGCAGGATGACGTCATCAGCTCACAGCGCTCTTCCTCTGTCAGTGCGCTCCTGTCGGGGGATGTGTCGGCCTGTGTGTCTGTGAAGGGCGTTATGTGGGTGCTGTTAATGAGAAGTTTTGACTGTATGGTGAAGTTGTCAAAGACACCTGTGAAAGATACACACACAGTCTTTACTCGGTCAGTTTTTCAGATTTGAATATCAGCATGTCCTACCCGTGGTGCCACCCAATGTCCTACCTGTCATG